CCACGGCCGCACTGCTCCCAGCACGGCCCAAACCCCTCACAGTGGGGCCGGCGGCGTGGCTCAGCCCTTCTCCGGGGGCCAGGAGTGCACTTTCTTCTCTTTCGTTGCTGGAGCCTTTAGGGAAGCTTGCCTCTCGTATGTTTCGTGTCTTTGGTTGCTCCATATTTATCAACAGCGAGCAACAAACTGTAATCACGGCGCTTCTTTAATGACCATCATCATTAGGAAGAGAACACGTGCAAGTGAATCATTAATTACAGGCTTCTAAGTGCCACCCTCTTCACACAGCCGTTTAGAAGGGGTGTTTGTGAACAGAAGAGGACAATCCCACTTGCTGTTGCGTTTTGAAGTTATTCTGACAGTGAACTCTCCCCCGGCACAAGCCTGTTCACCTTTTCCAGCCCGAGGTCCCGCTGGCCCCCGCTGCCACAGCCCCCGGGTGCGTTTCACCATCCCACCCAGCGCCGCTCCTGCAGAACAGCCGCCAGCCAGGTCAAGTGATGTGTCAGTACAGAGAAATACACAATTATGGGTCTTTCTAGACTTTCCAGGGGACTTCTGAAAACTGGAAATTTCTCTGTTCTCTGTGAAAGACAAACTGTCTGATATCATAGCGTAGCATCGTCAGTGCAATGCAAAGTGGGTCTTTGATGTTGCCAAGTCCCTCTGACATTCCGCATGGGAGCATTTATTTGCTTAAAACATTTCTCCAGATAAAAACCGATAACTTTGCTGAGAGCTAAGTCATGCCCATAATGAAGAACAGCCATTTATATTTAAAAATATGCAAAACCATGGGCATGGGCATGTTTGACTTTCACTGAACTGTTCCTAGTTCCTGGCTGTTAATTACACAATGGGTGCTTCACCTTTTCTACTAATGAAGGAAAAGTATCTCCAAGTTCCTCACGGCACACCAGTCACTTGAACCTACTCTCGGAAAAGTTTCCATCACATTTTTGGAGTAGCAAACGTTGTCACTGTAACTGCAGGCAGAACAATGGGAAGAGCATGCTGAGGACTCTGCCAAAAGCCCGTTTCTGTTGTAATTCCTGCCTATCTGCTTTTTCATTGGTTATTCTCCTGGGGAGGTTGTATCCATGTTATCAATTCTCAGGGATTTTAGCAAGTGCATTTGACTTGAGAGGCACAGAAGAACATGTTTTCTTACCCCAGCGTAGCCTGTTTGGAAGGACAAGCTTCCACCTTTATTCACTAATTTCTGCCTAGCCCCGATGCAGTACAGTCTGTACAATGCAAACCTGCGCAGTGAGTTACTTTACACTGGCCGGTGCCTTTGGGGAAGGAAACTGGCTGAGTTCTTGACCCTCTCTCTGCCCCTACTTTGTAACCATCGAAATGCACACTTGTGAGGGGGTGATAAACCCCAGCCTCTGCCAGCTGGCTTGAATGGACAGGAGCGTGCTGCGGGTGCTGCGCGGGCAGAGCTGACCCAGAAGGGGCCAGCACCGGTGGGCACCCATCCCGCGGACAGCAGACCCGGGGGGCCGGGGCTGCACCCCAGAGCGGGCAGGGGGCACGGCCGCCCCAGGCGCTTGGTCATTGCAGAGACCAACGGCGTCTGCAGGTGGCTGCCTGGCATGCTCAGCTGCTTGAAATGCCTTTGCCAAGGCGAGGGTGAAGTTCCACTTGCCAAATGAGTTTGCACCCACAGAAGTGAAATTCACGCATGCTGGAGCATTAGTGTCAGCCAGCAGAGAGCTTCTGCTCACGTAGGAGAGGAGGGAGTTGATCCGGGGCAGAATGAGCAGTGGAAGCACCATACCTCCTGTTGTCTCTGGGAGATGTTGAGCATTTGTCATTTGAATTTAATAAAACAAGATGGTGAGACGGGCAAGCTCTCAAAAGCCTGAGGAGTAATGGTTTTGAATTATAATAACAGCCCTTAGGGCAGATGACCAATAATTTATGATCCCATAATTATGGCAAAAAAATACTTACTCCATCCACTGACTCTGATCTGATTTTCACTTTGAGAAACATCTCTGGCCCTGTGGGTGCAGCTTCTGTGGAGTCAGATTTCCAGACTAGAAAGACTCGAGTAATTCTGTAGTTAGACAGTGTTTCTAAAACAAAAAGGCAACAGCACTAAACCAGGAAACAACAGAAAGCTGAACTAAGAGCAGACTTTGTCTTCACGGCACATACAGACACTGTTTATTTTTCCCTTTTTGTGAGCAGTCCTCACGACTGTGAATTGATTTGCAAAGCAATAAAGTAAATTGTTCAGTAATTCTTCCTGAGTGGTTAAACACAGGCATTCAGTAAGCTGAGCGATGCTGTAGAGCAGATGATAATGCTGCGGTGAAGGGATGTGAAGAGTTTCAAACAATCTCTCCCGCTTGCTCAGACTTCCTTTGTTTTTTCTCCCGCCAGTGGCACGGCCGGGCAGCGAGCTTTGACAGCCAGGGCTCCTGTCCCTCTCCTAAACCACCACCCACACCGTGATCCAGGAGCAGCGAGTAAAGGGGACTGAAGCAGGTTATGGTTGCACCTGGCCACCAGCCTCAGTGAGTTGCTGCTGAGCGGCAGTCGCAGCAGCGAGACTTTCTGGTCTAGTTGTTCCCGCGTAAGTAAAGGCAGAAACCCGTTTTGTGGTCAAATATGTCTTTGTCTAATACGTCTCCCAAGGTGATATTTTTTGTGGCTTTTACTGTATGGATCTGTTTCCGGAGGACAGAGGTGGACTGAGACATGAGCTGCCAGCGTGGTCTGTAAAATAACATGTAAAATAGTTTTTAGTGTGTATGGAGGCTGGAAGGGTGCCAAGATGCTCTGAGTGTCTCCAGCCGGCGCGGGTGGCCAGGAGAGGGGACATCTGGACCGGCCCTGCTGCACTGTCCGTGCCCGCTTGGAAGAGCAGCAGCAAAAGACGCGAGAGACTCTCTGGTCTGCGAGCGGCTCGTGCGGTGGTGGTCAGCCCACGTCCAGCAGCGTGTTCGCAGGTTCCTGTCCGTGTAGAGGTGTTCTTGAGCTGTTAGAAGTTTGCGCAGTGTGTATCCCAAATTCCTTTTGTCATATATTAAAAATGCCGTTGATTCCTCAGGGGGGAAAAACTGTTTTTTCCCTGCGTATGAAGTCTCGCTAGAGCTATTTGCATGAAGAGTTTCTCAAGACCCCTTCGTAGCTGCTGCTCATCCCCCCGTACATCACCGCCTTACCTGGAGTGGAGAGAACTGCGCTGCCAGTGGGGTTCGGACGTAAAGGGGGAAAATGTTACACAAATAGGTGACATCCTTGCACGAACACTAGATCTTTATTTCTTATACCATCCTTGTAATAAAGGGTGAACAAAAGGGTAAAGGGAAATAGAGAAACACAACCAATACAAAAAAAAAAAAAAATTGTAAACTTTTTTCTTGAACTATCAGCACTTCCTTAATGAAGAAAGTTTCTAAGGCCCAAACCCTGGAGGAAGATCAAGTTTTGGAAAAATTAGTCTTTGCTGGTTCTTTGGCTGCAGAGGCCAAAAATGAAGTTATAACATCCCAAGCACTAGCTTTGCAAACGCAGCTCGATCAGCTGATCTTTATCAGACACATGTGGATTTTGGACACTTTCTCAGCGTGGATTTTTTTTCTGAGTTAATAACTACATTACTGCTGTTTGTTCCACTATAGTTAAATTAAGTAAATGCAAATATTTTGGTTTCAAGTTAAAACAAAATTTGCTAGCAAGGCAGACATTTCTCCTCCCATCGGGTGAGCAGAACTGCATACACCAGCCGCTATCTTCAGGTCAGCTCCAGCTTCCATTTTCCTAAATGTCCCAGCATCAGCCTTCACCGAACATCACGACTAGCAGAGAAGGGTGTCTGTTTGCGTTGTCTTTCTGGGTAAGGTGAATCCTTTGTTCAGTGAAGGACCAATACATAATATCTCATCACACTTTGTGTCTTAATTCTGTTTATGTGCCACATGCTATAGAAGCAGAAACTCAATAAAATTATTTTATTTGTAAGTTTTGCCTTGTCTGGTGAAATACTTCCTCTTGTGAAAGCAGTCGTCGTGTGTTACGTGATTTTAGATGGTTACAGCAATTGCAGCCGATGCTGTAAAAGAGTTCCCAACCGTTCAGGCTGATTTCCAGGGGTGGAGGTTCAAACACCGACTGCAAGCCCACCCCCCCCACACCTTGACCTGAGCTGGAGCGAGCCTCGCGTCTTCAGCCCCGGGAACTGGAGGTGCCGGTACCCAGGAGGAGCCACAGCGGTCCCAGCTGGGGCAAGGGCGGCACTTGGCAATCGTTAATTGCTCTAACGCAACTCTGATCTTTTTCTCATTTCATCCTGGCTTTTGGGGTTTGGTGTTCTCTGGATCATCTCTGTCTTTTATCCATTCTTCTTGTTATCTAGGATTTAGTCAAAACATACGTGGGGTTTGACACAAAGCTGCTATTTTTAATCCTTGCTTCACACAGATAATCAATTTCCCCTCAGTACTGGCTGTCACTTGCATTGCTGGAAAACTGGATCTCACGCTGGTGAACAGCACCCACGCTGGGATGGCTCAGACCCCCCACACTCTGATTTTAAACGCTGAGGCTCTGCCACGTCCCTCGGTGAGGGGATAATCAAACCATTGTGTGTTTGTCATCGCCTCCGCGCAGCCACTCCAGAAGATTGGTCACAGTAATGGAAACGAGATGCACTGTACAAGTGCAAATATTTCCCTTTCATCTGCAAAGGGATTATGACTCTGAAACGGAGCTGAGCCTGGCACGAGTGCCTTCCCAGGTTTAGTGAAGTTGCGTTCTTGCTCCTTCTCACTTTCTGTGCTGCTCTTAACCACATAGCAGTAACTCGCAGAGAAGTTTAAATTATTACCCAGGAAATCACAGAGAACCACCCCAGGGCCACGTCCCGTGGAGCCATTTGACATCATGGGACTCGTGCTTCTTTGAACCTCACTGCAAACGTGACTTGCACCAGCAAAGGGGGATGCCAGCCGCCCGCGGTCCCGCTCGGAGCCGGGGGTGGCTCCAGGGCCAATGTGCTGTGCCAGGCTGGGCTGTGCCAGG